TTGACTTTTAAAGTCGAAATTTTGACTTTTAAAAGTCGAAATTTTGACTTTCTGTAGGCTTTTTTTTTTTTTTACATGGCGGAAACGGGCTTCCATAAGTTCAAGTAAAAGTCAAACGAAGCCAGATTTTGGAGGCATCTGCTGTTCCACACACACCTCTCCCATCGCCAGGAATATTCCCCTGAATCTAAGCGTTTATGTAAATAGACGTATGTAAAATTATGCAAAAATATCCCTCTATGTGATAATGAATGCAAATGTCCAATGCATAAGGAAGCTTTGCCTTTTTTACTTGGAAGCCGTTTCTCTGCTACATTTTGACCTAAAATTAAAAACAACCACTTCATATATGAACGGTTTATCATTCATTCAGCTAATCTATTTGTCCAACTGAGATTTCAAAAGTTACAGTAAAGAATTCCATTTGTATGTGTTCGGTTTGGCTCCTAAACATGATCTTGAGAAAATGTACTTTTTGCGGGTTGAAAATGAGCGAAATAATGTAAAGTGAGCATGTGTTATGAAGGAAGAGATGACTGGAATGTGTCAACACTGCCATCCAGTGGTAGAAGTGGGGAATGACAATGACTTATGTAAATGCGATAAGTTTGTTTTTAAAGGTGGAAAACAGCTCTGAGAATTTGTCAGTGTGAAACAGGTTTGAAAACTGAGCAGTTAGACAGAATGGGTGGGGAGGAGGCGTTAATGTCAGACCCCGGCAACGTTAAAAAATATATTTTCTCATAATATTTCAGTGGTATATAAGTGATGGGGGAAAAAATCGATTCAGTTCAGGATCGCTATACTTTGTGAATACAGGGAACTTTCGATACAGTCTGGCAAAGTATTGTGACATTTAATTGATTGATTGATTTGATTGAATTGTTTTTTCCTTAAGTTTGCTGAAGTTTATGTTACTCTGTTATGGCTGCGTCTTGTGACTCTTGTCTAAAGTATTTAAATAACTTAAGCGATGTACAGGGAGCTCACCATTGAGGAAGTTGCCTACTAAGACAATGATGATGTCTCGTCCTGTAATAAGATCCTGTGTTCTGAATATTCGAGGATAACGAATTTTGCACATGAATTGCAAAATATATCACAGAATCAATTCTCGCAATATGTTAAGAATCACAATAATATTGAGTTGTAGCACAAATATCACAATACTATTATAATCGTATATGTCTGTGATGAAGACATGGCTAACATTGCTCAGCCCTATCTGTGCGTTGGAGGTTTTTTTTATGGATAGTGTTAGTTGAAGTGGAATGCATGTATCTACTGTAATGTCACTGTGAGGCTGATGCTGCAGAGCCAGTTTGAGGCTGCCAGCAGAAAGGCAAAGGCATGCAGCTCCACAGGTTCACTCTGCTCCACGCTCACAGCAGCAGCAGCAGTAGCTTCCTGGTCCGGCCAATACTAGCAGCACTTTTTCCGTTCAAAACTATTAGACCGCAAAATTCATCGCAATCGAAACAAAATTGCAGTTAGCCGATAGCAAAGACGAATATTCTTTATGTGAAAATGGTAATTCAGTCTTGCTTGTGTTTCTCTTTATGCGAGCTGGAGGTGAACGTGATGAAATGTGAATATGTACGTACAGTAAGTGTTGTTTGGATGTCGGGAAATGCAGAATGTTGTTTTATTAGTTATGTGACGGGAACAATGCTTATGAAGGATCAACTGTCAAGTAATCACCTCCCAGTCAGTGTTCAGAAATCCCCCTTTAAGGTTCAAAACTAAGAAAAACCTCCAACAAAAAATATAATAAATAATAATTTTCTTAAGGGGAAAACAATAGCTTACATTCACTGGCGTCAAAAGAAGATTCTTACTTAAAGAGATTTTTTCATAAATTTTTTTATAATACATTTAAAAATAATAACGATTATGTAAACGTTTTGGTTTTATAGTTAAAATTCTTAAAATCTATAACAGCTGTCTAAATTCTCCAAACACATACATAACAAGAACAATTATTTTTCAGTTGCACAGTGTATCAGAATAAAATCAATAATTATGCTGTTATTAATGACCTCCACAGCAAAGTTTGAGATCCTCTAAAATGTGAAATGAAAAAACAAAAGTATTGTGAGGTTCTTCTACTGCCTATGAATCTAAAGCAATCTGACGGTTTTATGCAGTTTACTTGTTATTTTTTTTAAATCAGAATCTTCAGAAATGTCTCAGTCCTGAATCTATTCCTTCTTCCTTCCTTCAAACTTAACTTAAATAAGAAATTATTGTTTAGGACACATCATATTTCCTTCTATAAACGTATACGCCAACTTAGGGCTGGGCGATTAATCGATTTTAATCATTAATTCGAGTTTTACGTTTAGGGCGATTTCTTTTTTTTTAAATTCGATTTTTATTTTCTCCAGCGCTAACGTGCTAACCGCGGGTCTATGGTGTTGAGCAGTCATTTTGAAGCTAACCTAATGCTAACAGTCTCCCTCTGGCCTGATGCTCGCTCTCACAGTTGGTGCTGTTGCAATAACACTTCAAACGTTCAAGAATCAGACTTTATTTAAATCGGCAAAACACACACACACACGCACGCAGGCTCCGGTCGCTATGTTTGTACGCCATGTTCGTACGCCACATCTTTCACGCTCTCTCACGCTCGTTATTCCAAAGCGCACTCCCGTGTCCGTGGCGCGCACACACTCGTGTCCCACTGAGCCGCTGCACTTTGGGGAAAGACACGTCTCACACATTGTTCTCATTGCTCTGATACAAACAACGTGTTCCCCGCTGTCTGTTAGCTACAGTAGCCGCTACAGTAGCTGTTAGCTACAGCATCATAATGTAAACAGGAAGCTCCCACAATGCGGGAGTCACTGAAGTTAGTATTAGCGCCACCAGCTGGACCGAGCGTTGTACTACAGCACAGTTACTCAGGCACAGTTGGAAGAACAAGCATGAAAACCCGAGGAGGCTTTTGGAAAAGACTGTTACAACATTTCTACTTTGAGTAATCAGTTTCAAAAATGTGATATTTCAATTAAATAATGCATGTGTTTAATAGGATTGATATATTTGCGATGGGCCTTGTTTGTGTGATTTAAGTTATTTTGAAGGTGCATAGTGTCATTGTAAGTGAAGTTATTATAAAACTGTTAAGCTACATTTTCACTGTTTACAATGGCAGAGCCATCTCGTTTACAAGCATGTTTTAAGGCTTAATTCCTGTTACACTTATGCTCCATGGGGATTTAGATTAAACTGCATAAAGGAAAATCTATTTCTTTGTCAGTTGTAGTTTGTTTTTAAATAGAAAAAAATAAATCGATTAAAATCGAAAATCGGATTTGGTGTGAAAAAATCGGAGATTTTTTTTTTTTGCCATATCGCCCAGCCCTACGCCAACTATAAATGTTGTATATGATAATGGTCTTGGATATATAAAAAATCTATCTATCTATAATAGCAATATTATACAGGGCAGTCTGATTAAAAGTCTATATTATTGTATTTGCTGGATCCAAAGAGAGCTTTCTAATTATAATGAAATATGCTAATACTTTGAATACTACATAAAATTAACAAATATATACAGTATGTTCAACCCCTGCCCTTGCGACTGTCTTTGTATACTACTGCACTGCTAAATGTCAATTGTGTGAACTAATATAGTAGAAATTTAGTAGGAATTTTATTATTTTTATTTTTATTGTAAGCATGCCTCACATCCATTTCACTCTTATAACTTGTCTGCACCTGGAGCCAAAGCACATTTCTAGTTTGTGACTTTCTGTTACTTATAATAACAATACAACATTTAATGATGATTCTGATTCTAGATCGAGTCTAATTTTCAAACATGTGAAAGCTGAGGCAAATGAAGTAAAAAAGACTTTCTAAACAAAACACAAAACCTCAATGCATCTTAGAACAACCTCCCCAGCTTTCACTCAAAAACCTCAACACATCATCATGGACGTCGGAACTATTTTCTGAGAGGGGGGGCGGGTTTTTGTTGGGAGAGTCGAGGGAGAGACTCATACTTGGATTACACTGGATAATAACATACCATCTTAATTGTTAAGAAAAACAAAATAAACAATATATATCAAGCGAGTCACTTATCAAACTGAACTTTTTTTTTTTCAATACGCATTCATGCGTCAGTCTCTCCGGTGGCTTCATTGTGTTGTGTAGCCCAGTGACGGGAGGAGACACCCGTTTTTTTTACTTTTTAAAACTCATTGAACTTATTTCCAAATGGAGGATTACATGTCTGTGCTCAAACTATTATCTGGACTTAAACATGAAACTGGTCCTAACTGAAGTGGTCTGTGCTGTTCATTAATACCTAAGGTAAGGCCCATAACACACTTTGTACTTTTTACAAACGTTTGCGTTTTGTATGAGAAAACAATGCAGACATTAAATCATATTCTGCTGTAGCCAAACAAATTGTGTATAAGCCGCTCCTGTTCCTGTAGGTCCTGTTGGTTTATATGATGTATAATCATATGAACACATGATTGATCCCCCACCGCACGTCACTGGTGTAGCCAGGTCTCTAATCTGCGCAAGGCTGAGAAAGAGCGCTCAGAGGCTGCGACAGATATTAGCCAGACAGAGCTTCATAAGCTTCTCCGACAGCATGGAGCGGGTTTTGGGCTGCAAGGAACGCAGGATAGTGATAACTTCTCGCTCCCGGCACACGCGGACGGGGTGCGGCCGCAGACGTCTATGCACATCATTCCTCACAATAATCACAGAATGGCATGTTCCAAATCACTCCAGTGTCATCTGTTGGCTAATTGCTGTCACGCTGATGAAGACGCACATGGCACAAGTCAAGTCTGAGAACTCCATTTGAAAACATCGCCACGTGAAATGCACAGCACACTTATTCTCCACAATCTAACTCTGCTTTCTGCAAATATGTCCAGTGCCAATACGCGCGGTTTGGCTGCACTTGGCTTCCACGCCCGCGCTCCTCACTTCAACAATGTTTGGCACTTTTGGCACACATGTCGCGGTCAGTTCTTGTACGTCCTTTCCACATAACCAGCCTCGGCGTTTGCATTAGTGTCGCTCTTTTTGCCTACCTCCGTGCGCGCTTGCAGCCGCTTGTTCATCTCGTAGACCCGGTACTCTGGCTGGACCATGTAGGGCGAGTGCCTCCGGTAGAACGGTCCAAAGGGGGACGAGTAGAACGGGTCTTGGTTCGGGTTAGACATGGTGGAAAGACGTGCGGCGGTGGAGATGGAGCACTCGGGGTTTCAGCATCCAGGGGAGGGCGCGGGAGCTGGGGATGAGGAGGGGGGAAGCATGAGGGGACCGCACGGCGCTGGTGGTGTATCGGAAAGACAGGGATCGGAGGTTTTTTTACGCGCGTCCGGAGCTCAAGACGAGAGCAGCGCTGTGCCAGCCTGGTCCCTCTGCTCCGCCGCTATAGCGTGGAGCCCAGAGGAAGGAGGAGGGAGGTGAGAGAGTGGAGGGGAGGGAGGGAGAGGAGGGGAGTGTGCTGTGGTGGTGGTGGATGAGGAGGGAGGGCTGCCTGGTTTCCTGTTCCCTGAAGAGCCACACGCGGTTGTTCTTTGCAGGCGCTCTCTCCTGCAAAGTTCAAGTCAAGACGAAATGCAGAAAGTGTGCGCGCAGAGAAGACTGCTGCAATATGGGAAGTTTTCAGATGTAAACCAGAGCTTAAACGTTCATGCATCACTTCTTATTTTCAACATAGTAATAATATACTCATTTTTGAATGCAAGTACATCTTCTTTTCTCAGCAGGAAGAATATAGACCAAAATTGTGGAGTAAAGCCTAAATAACAACATATTTTGTCTTCATTCTATTATAACTTGGGGCTTTTCTTACCCTAAACCCTCTTAACACATGTTTTTAGCCCCCAAACCCCCTGGTTTCCTCCTCTTTCGGCACTGATCGACATGGGTTGGTGTGTCAGAATAACTTCCCTTTTGACCTTCTTTGTGACCACGTCTTTTTGTCAAATTGTGTTCAGTGTGAACAGGCCAACCAAATCTAGCTCTGACTTAGACACAATAAAGGCAAACACACAAGTCACATGAGGAGCAATTCTCTGCATAATTGCAGCGTAACTTTTCTGGTCACTCAGTCATTATTTACTTGTGGTGGTAAACTAAGGTTGACAGAAGGAAGAACCAATCTGAGCCTTCATCATTCATGCACATGTGGGTTCAATGTCTTGACTAAGGGCACAGCCACGGCGTCCCACTGTGGCACCTTTGTTCTCTGAGGTCTCCCATCACAGTACTAACCAGTACCTACCCTGCTTAGCACATACAATCTGTCAGTCCTAAGCTTCCACACATGCAGGTTTTATGATACAATAGAGAAAAGGTTTCCTTTTAGTCAAAATGTGAAAGGTGCTCTTTTGGACATGTGCTGGAGCTGATGGACGGTGCCACCTCTACCCTCAGAATCATTCTGTTATACAGTCTTCAAAGAGGACTTTCTCAGGGACCTAAAGTTCATAGTTTTATTTTGAAGTACCGCTAATCGTTTTGAAAACATACAAAATATAAATGAAGCTGAAGCGCAAATTCAGACTGAAAGACCTGCCACGGCTCTCACCCGTCCAGGGCCTGCCAATCAGCCCCCTGAAAACCCACTGACAGCAAAGCGGGCAGTTTAAAAGCAGCCACTCCCCGATAAACAGCGCTTCCTGAAGCTCTTAACACCCACCACCTCCCCAGCGCCTCCTCAGCTCCTGTTTCCTACTTGGGTTTCCGCTCTGGCTCCTGCCCTGGTTCCTGCCCTGGCTCCAGCTCTGGCTCCTGCTCCGCCTACGCCCCATTCACACCATGCTTCTAGCCACCACCAGTGCTTGACCCCAGGGGGGGTCTGAGATCATCTACAGCAGCAGACGATCTCCCCTCTGCAAGTGTCACTGCCGGGGTCAATGCGCCAAACAAATAAATCTTTTTCATGCATTCATGTTTCTGTCTTGGTCTCTTCAAATTGAAATCACTTAAAACATGCTGATGGTAAGTCTTTGTATTTCTCACTGTGAAGTGTAAATAAATAAACATGTAAAACCTCTCATTCTGGCTGTATACAATTTAATAAAGCCACAATTATGTCTCAACTATATCTTTACCATCAAGTGGCACCACCTGTAAGTGAAAGCCTAATCCTTGCTCAGCAGGGCAAGGCCTGGTTTGTACAGTGATGGAAGACCTCTGGGAACATCAGGTGCCACAGAGCCTCTGCTGCAGCTGTAAATTGCCAAACTGCCATTGTGTCCATAGGCAAGACACACCCACATTGTCTTGTATGAGTCTGGTGTGTGCGTGAATGATTAGTGGTGGTCAGAGTGACCGATGGCACATACTGATTGCTATGCCTCTGTCAGTCTGCCGCAAGTCAGTTGTGGCTTCAGTAGACATTCTTCTCCACTGTTTATAGAGTAATGTGAATGGTGCCATGTGAAGTTTCTTTGAGTGTCCAAAAAAGCACTATGTGCTTTTATACTGATAAATATATAACCCCAGTGATCATCTGCTTCAATCCTGACTAAAACAAATTGCTCCATGAATTGTGTTACTAATTACTATTGGACCCATACTCAAAGCTGTCTGTTAAAGATGCAGTGTTTAACCGTTCTCCTCTGAGATGACTGCTGTATGTTTGTATAGCGGAATAGCCGGACTATGCAATAATAATTTGAATTAAATTGAATTTCCTGGGGGCTCTGGTCTCCTTGGAAATCTTGTAGTTTAGCCCAGGGACAAGTCAGCAGGTCAGAATCAGGTTATACAGCTACAGGCCAAGTGACAGGTCGGATCTGGGGAGCAGTGACCCTGCCCGCAGCAAAATGCATTTGAGGAAAACAAAACTATTTAGGAAAAGCTAACAGCCAAATAGTGGAATGTTTGAGCTACAGCTAAAGCGGTGTAAGTGATTATGTAAATAGTTCTAATGAAAAGTAAGGGTCCTCTGCTAAACTCTGTTTACCACTTGCTCTTTTGTTTTCAGAGCTGTTGACGAATTAACAATAAAACTATGGTCTTTATGTGACTTTTACTGCCTATATGCTTGTGATACTGGCGTTTGGAGGTGAGTCTGACATGTCGACAGCACATGAGCCTTGAAGGACAGAACAACAGGCAGACAAAATAAGTCAAAACACCAAAGAAAAACAGTAAAAGACTTAAAACCATGTGAACTGTCATTTACACACAAAGCTAGAGCGATGCATGTTTGAGTCATTTCTTTTCTCTTACACCTGAGACGTCATTACTACCCCATCTGATCACCGAGACACCACTGGTTTGCTCTGTCACCAATTTGATAAAAAAAATTATTGCTTAGTCATGTGTGATCAGAACAGATCAGGGCCTGTGCCATTTCTGTTGATGTAATGTGTGTGGACCTTTCTTCTTGTTTTGGATCAGATTAGGGGTGTGACGATACTTTCTCCCGCGATTCGAGTATTATATTGTTTTTTCTTCAATTTTTTCAATACTTAATATATGGCTACATTACGCATCTCCATTCCATTCATCATGAAATAAAGTGTATTAACATTTTCTTTTAAGTATGTCATAAATTGGCATATGGTATATTTCTGACCAATATATATCATGTAAAAATCAATGACTGTCTTTCTGATGTTGTTTCTGTGAGCACTGGTTCTCCTCAGGGATGTATTTTGAGTCCTTTGCTTTTTACTTTGTACACTCACGACTGTGTGTCCTCCTCTGACTCAAACTTGATCATTAAATATGCTGATGACACCACCATCATCGGTCTCATCAGTGACAATGATGAATCCTCTTATAGAGCAGAGATCGAACATGTTTTTCAGTGGAGTAAAGTAAACAATCTCCAGCTGCACACTGCAAAAACATGTGAACTTGTCTTTGACTTCAGTCGTAGAAGTTCTCACACTCCTGTAGTTATCGACAACTCCCAGGTGCAGATCGTAGAGGAGTGCAAGTTCCTGGGTTTAACTCTTTCTAACGACCTGAAATGGGACAAAAATACTAACCGGGTCGTTAAGAAAGCACGTCAGCGGCTCTTCTTTTTGCGGAAACTTAGAGAATTTACCACTAACTCTAAGATTCTGCTTAACTTTTATCGCTGCACCATTGAGAGTTTACTTGTTAGTTCTGTGTCTGTATGGTTTGGAAACATCACAGATAAAGAAAAGAGAGCTTTAAACAAGGTGCTCCGCTCTGCAAAGAGGACCGTGGGCTGTGAGCTTCCTGTTCTGGAGGTTCTTTATAAATCCAGACTTTTAAACAGAGCTCTTAGGATTGTTAATGACTCTTCTGGCCACCCTGGGAAAGCCATGTTCCAGCTTCTTCCCTCTGGCAGAAGATATCGGTCGCTGAGATGCAAGACATCTCGCTATGCTAACAGCTTCTTTCCACAGGCTGTTAGGTGCCTAAACAGAGCACTTTAATTCCTGCTTTTACCCCTTGTATCGTTTTGTTGATCGGTGCCACAGTGTCAGCTGTTTTTTTTATTCTTTTATTTTCAGTGTTTGTGTATTTTATATTACATTGTATCGTGTTCTTTATTCTGTCGGTGCACACAGAGTACCTTTCTTTGCAAATGTATTCCAATGTAGTTTGTATACTGCACATGGCTAATAAAATGAATCTGAATCTGAATCATGTATCGTATCATATCGTGAGGTACCCTTAGGTACCCACCCCTAATTTCAATGGTTCTAAATATATAAAAGTGGTCACAGGTGTCATGTGCCTCATTCCCTGGAATTTACCTTTCCTAAAACCTTGTGGGCGGCACGGTGGCTGAGTGGATAGCACTCTCGCCTCTCAGCAAGAAGGTCCTGGGTTCGAATCCCAGCCGGACCAGGGCCTTTCTGAGTGGAGTTTGCATGTTCTCCCTGTGTCTGCGTAGGTTTCCTCCGGGTACTCCGGTTTCCCCTACCACTAAAAAAATGTACAATAGGTCTGGCATGCGCCTCCTGTTCGGCGACCCCACTCCTGTCTCTGTGTGGAGTGAGAGGACAAGTGCCCAAAAAATAACAATTGTAAACCGCTTTGTGACTCTGGTCTGTGAAAGGCGGTATATAAATAAAGCTTACTTACTAAAACGCTGAGCCGTGCTGAGGACTGGTGTGTCAAAACGACTCGGCATCTAACCCACCTTGTGGCCATAGATTGTATATAAATAGAGGACTCACCACGTGCTGAAGTCACCCATCGTATTAGCCTTAACGCA